AACCCGATGAAACAAGAAGATGAGGTGATTGGTCTCCATGTACCACATGAAAGGAGAGGTGATGTACATAATTAGGGAAATCAATCGTTAGTGTCTTCACACCACTACTACACTTTATACTTAAGTAAAGTACAAGTATCTCAAGATTGTACCCAATTATAGTACTTGTTGAGTTTATGAACTTGGTTACTTTACACCATGTGGCTATAAAGATAGAAAGACTAAACCTTGCACAGAGGCATGAAAATACATTTTCAAAATGCTCAACAGTGCTGCCAAAATTATAAACTGACTGCTACACAATTAAAATAAATGCTTTTATATATTTCTATTAGAAGTGACTCTTTGGTGTTTCTGTTATTATTAACACTGCTGCTTTAGTTGTTCTGACTGCTAAAATCCTCTGTTATTCCTCATTATAAAGCCAACATTCCGTGGGGTGGGGGAGCCGGGGGCTCGGATCATTGTCACCTCTTTCATACCTGATGAGTTTGCATCCCTGCTTTCACACGCTGGGGTCTGTTTTGGTGAGCATGTGACTGGAGAGTAAATTAGTCCATGGGATAAATCTCAGTGTCCTATAATCCTGTCTTTGTCTGTTTGTTCTCTTTCTCATCACAAGAGGCCAGCTGAGTGGTTGATTGGACTCGATCTGTTCAACCCCGCTTATTTTTGTGTCTAAACTCCACTTTTATTTTAGTATCAAAGAACTGTGTAAACCCAACAAATGGACCACTACTGATTACACAATCCAGAGATGTTACGTGTGGATTGAAATATGTTTTAGTGTTAATAGTTCGTTAGAATAATTTCATTGCCAACATCTTTTTTAAATTATATTTATATCAACAAATGTACCAGCATCTGTTATTGTAGTGTTTATTCCTTGAGCAAATTAGTGTTTTGGTTCTCGTAAAAAAAATAGTATTTGCAATTTTTATATAGACAACATTTTTATTGTGCCCAAAGAAGCTTGGACAAACTTGACTTAGATAGACATAGATTTGTTCCCTTTTTGATACAATATCTCGCAGGATTTTGTATTTTGTCTGTCTTGTTCATATCTATTCTTTACAATACTGAAACAAGAGAAAGTTTCCCACTGACTTTTTTAAGTTCAACCTTTTTTTAGAATAAAATGGAAGTTATTGTAGATGATAAAAGATAGAAGAATAACAACAGTTTTACTGCTAAGACTGTGTGTGTGTGTGTGTGTGTGTGTGTGTGTGTGTGTGTGTGTGTGTGTGTGTGTGTGTGTGTGTGTGTGTGTGTGTGTGTGTGTGTGGACTATTTAAAGCTAGCAGAACAATATGTGGCCGTCTGAACAATGCCACTTATTTGCAGTATAATGACTGAACATAATTGTGACGTAGATCTTTGGCGGCAACCTTAAATTCAACTTGCATGTGAATAAAAGTAATAATATCCTCCTGGGCTACGGGGAAACAAAGACCAAGTATTCAGTTATAAAATGGGACGTGTTGATATGTCACTGCCTCGTGTCTGCTGATGAATCACAATATTTGCAAAGTATTTTTGCACTTACGAGGAATTTGATTTTTTTTTTTTGCATCGCCCTCAATGTACCTACAACTAGGCACCAGCTGAACAAATAAAGGCAATAATAGGCAGAATGTCTGTGGAATGAATAGATGGGTGTGAAATTAAATATCTATCCAAGTCCATTGTTAAGGAAACAAACAAGGATAGAAGGATGATTCGTTGTCATTTAACAACACAGGGTTTTGAAACCCAGTTCTGCTACATAAGAAAAACAAATTGCTATATTCTTGATGGAGCTTGGAGGAGTGTCACAGCTTAGAAGCTGCTCGGTAGTCTGGTCCTACTTCTGCGTCTCTTGCCAGACTGCAGCAGGCTGGTTATTGTCCTTAATATCCTTTAGGAACCTTTTCACCCTAATATCGCTGAAGCTCGGTGGATGAGCACCAATGACAGACGGGCAGTTCTGATCACTCCCTGCTGAGACCTCCTGTCCCAAGCACACCCCATGCCCGTTTGTATAGTTTCTGGTCAGGATGCTTTCTATTGATACTCCGTTAAAGTCAATCATTTTACCTAAAAGTTTTGATGATTCCCAGAAACTTAAATCTGTTCAATAATAATAAAAATAATAATACATTACATTTATAAAGCGCTTTTCCTGGTGCTCAAAGCGCTTACAACAGCTTAATGTCAGCTCCATAAATGTAAATAGGCTTGTGCTTTCAAGTTGACAAGTATCTCCTTGGTTTTGCATTGTTGTTGAAGTAGTACTCTGAGTATACTTTATTATATTTTGTGTTTTCTTTTCTCATTATGACGTCTCGTCTATATTTGCATTCCGGCCAATCATAGTGTTCTGTAAATTGTTAACTGTAAAAGTAGTGCAGAGTAATACAACTATATGCAGTAATGGATATACAGCAAGTACAATTTATATTGACAGTGACAGATGATCTACATGTTTAAAAAAAAAATATATGCATGCTGGATATTTGTCACCAAAAAGTACCCTCTTAACTCAAAGGAAGGAATGACTAATGGTGGTTTCCCCGAATAATTTCAACAAAAAAAATAATTCAGTGACTAAACGAAGGAAGAAAAAAATGCATAAGGGACAAGATAGAGATTCAATATCCTTTCCTATCTCCAACCCTCTGCCCTGTGTATTTGCGTAGCTTAATAAAACAACAGTTTAAATCAGGTATCCTGCGTCAGGCCTTAATAATCTGAGTTTATAAAAAGGATCAAAAGACCTCCTCTATTTGTTCTCTATGCAGCTATGGTATGTTTGAACGTCATGTGTTTGTATAACCACTGAGAAGAAGCAAGAAACCCACACGGCCGCGTGAAGCCACATCCTCCGGTGACATCACATCATGTCATGGCAAGAGACGCACCATTCAGGAAAAACTGGTTTGTAGACATTCTGTTTGTCACCCTCCCTCCTTTATTTTGGTTTTCCTCTTGCTCTTTGTTATTTATATTTAGTCTGACAGTATCGTCGGAGGGTGTAACTGACTTCTCCCTCTGACTTCTACCAAGCAGACCATGAACCATGCTCAGCCTTTCTCACTCCTGAACGAGCGGCTGAGGCCTTCTTCCAACACCAGCACTCAGCTCTACTCCTCTCAGAACAGAATGGGGGACAGACAGATGGGCTCGCTCAGCCGCAGAAACCTATTTTACCGACCTACAGTCGTGCCAACAGAACCAAAAGCCTCCTTGATCCAAACAGAACCAAAAGCCTCCTTGATCCAAACAGAACCAAAAGCCTCCTTGACCCAAACAGAACCAGAAGACCCGGAGGAGCCTGAAAGCATCTCAGAGGAGGGAGATCAGGTCTCTGATGAAGGGACTTTTGCAGATCTGTTGAAAAACTCCTTCCTTATCGATGAGTTAAACTTATCAGATTTTGGAGAAGATGAACCGGGTGATGAGGACAGAAGCGCCTCCTCTTCTTCTGAGGAAGACCAACCAGGGGAGCTGAAGTCAGAGGGGGCCGGGGTCTCAGAGTCAGTGTCCTTGGCCGATGAAGGCAGGAGACCTTTTCAGAGAACCTACATAAATGGAGCTTTACCAGACCTGGTCAACGGTGGCAGGCCGCTCAGCAGGCGCCGGACACTGGGACACGTCTCAGACACGGTAGGATAAACTATTTCATATACGCCTGTCTATTTGAATAAGAGAAAGGTTGTTGGTTTCCTGGTAAACATTCTTTGACAGTGCATGCATTTGAAATTCATTCTTCATCAAGTCTTGTCAGACAACTAAACCTGTTATACTGGGAGGAGACATTCCTAACAGTCACAGAGGAGTTGACTAAACACAACAGCACATAATTAAAGATGAGAAGTTGTTCCCAAGAAATCAAAAACTGCAACATAACAAAGTGTGATCAGAATCAGTGTGTTGCTCTGACGTCAGATCACAGTTAACTTCAGTTTGCATAGAATTGTTATGGTTTTACAGCAGAGGATGGCAGGGTTTGATTTGTGGTTATGAGTATAAAGATGGAAACAGTGTTGCTAGGAGATGCTTTATGCCTCTAACATAAAGTTCAAAACGTCCATTACTTATCTTGATGCGTCATTGAGTTTCTACGAATGCAATCATTTGTGCATATTTGCAGTGTTTGCAAGTGATGAATAACTTCCAAGCCGGTACGACTGGATTTATTGTCCACAGTCTCACCCTGCAATCTAGATAAGCAGTATCTGTTTACACTGAGTAGAAATGTCACTAGGTTGTACTTTCTGTGTGCGGGCCTTTAATGATCTAAACAGCAACATGTGGGGACTTTTAATAAATGTACTGGTGTGATTTTGCAACTGTTTGCAGCTAAAAGAAGTGCGAAAAGAGGTGGAGCTGTCCCGGAGAAGAAGTATCAAGCTGAAGGCGCAGGTGGACAAACTCCAGGAGAGCAGAGAGGGGCCGGGATGGAGCCAGCACAGAGAGAAGGTGAAGCCCACACACAGCACCAGGGCGTCCTTTACATCAACACAACTCTGCAGGTTTCTTATTTATATTTCTGTTTATTCCTACTCCAGGTCACAGAGGA